CTTCAGCTTCAGTGCCTGAAGGGAGAGAAATGCAGGATGTGACCAGGCCAGGATGGGGAGGGATCTGGGAAATGGACTCTCCTTCCCTCCCTTGCAACATGCTCAGGGGGTGCAGACAGCTGGAGAAGAGGGACTCATTAGTAAGCAGCACAAGGGCTTTCCTACCACCCCCGCGTCTCTTTAAAGAGAAGCTACAAAATACCATCTAGGTTGCTGTGCGCTGCAGCTATCCCGGAGGGATTGCTGGAATTAAGAGATTAAAAGGGCAGCTCCTGACAGCCAGGTACGCTCTGCAGAGCACCGGGAAACTGGGAGCTGTCCTGGGCAGTTCTCTGTGTCTGTTAATGCCTCTGGGCTCAGGCTGTGTCTGTATCGGTCTTTCCAGCTCCGGTGATTGTTGGTTTGGTTCTGCTGCGGGCAGCGAAGGCAGCACAAACAGCCTGCACAAGGGACAAAGCAGAAGCTGGCATTGTAACAGGACTGCTGGACTCTGGTGAGAGCAGGCAGGGATGATACAGTAGCGGGCCCACCCCAGCCCTCCTAACTCTGGATCCCAGCTGGTGTTGGCAGGATGTTTGAGGGAAGAGTTGAACGTAGCTATAGTTCAACACCTCGCGTAGCTCCTAGCATGGGTATGGAGATACAGCAGCTTTTGCCAGAGATGCATCACAAACCACAGCTCCGCAGGGCAGAGAAAGCTTTCTGGTTTTGAGTCAAGCCCCAGCCGCTTGGCCGCTCTAAAGCTCCTGCGGCCACTCCAACAATTTTGGTTGGAAAAATGATTTTTTGGGGAAAAATTTACTCAGTCTGATTTATTTTTTTAAATTAAAAACAATAAACGCCCCCTTGCCATTCCCACCAAACTCTGGGAAAGGAGGAATGGGAGGTAGAGGAGGGAACCACCAAAACCACTCGGAGAGAACATTTAGGAAAAAAAAATAAAATCAACCTCATCCAAATTTCCCACCAAAAACAAGCCCAAATTTTTCAGCCAGAGAAACAGCACAGAGCCACCCCCTCCAAATGCAGGTGCCTCACTCCAGAGACTTGAGCTTCCATACAGAGCCATGTGCTCCACACCTCGGCCTTTATTCCACTTCGGACACGCCACTTTGGAACACGGTCCTTGCCAAGTGCAGCGCTGCACGTAGCCCGGGCTGCTGCTCTCTTACTACAGCTCTGCCACGCAGGGCTGTGCTTTCCCCCTGCTCCTGTTGGGCACAGGCCATTGACAACAGGCCAGGCACTTTGCTCTCAGCTTCGCTCCTGGCAGGGAGAGGGGCTGGAGGCAGCAGATGGTTGCATGCTCTGCCACCTCGCTGCACAGTTAGCTGCTTGGGCCAGAGCGCAATGCCAGGGCTGCTTTAGAAGGTGGCACGTGGCCCACAGGCTGCACATCGGCCACCACTACTGTAAACACCTTCTTCCAATTTCAGAATGCAGCAGCGAGCCCTGGCACAGATGGGCACCACCAGGAGCCACTACAGCATTGCCAGGGCCTTTGTAATCTGACTGCTGATGCCCTGGCACCTGCCTGCTCCCCTGTGCCAGCACCACCCACGCTGAGACCTGGTCTGCACCACACAGCTCTACCTCTGCTCCCCTGTGGCCAGAGTTACTCCATGGCTGCTGGGCAGAGCAGGTCTTCTGCCACCATCCAGCAAAAGACATCCCTTCAGTAACTCAGTGCCCTGGCGCCACTGCTGCCCAGTAGAGCTGCTGGAAGCTCATGGATGTATGGGCACCTTGGAGAGACAGGGAAGTAGATAAAGCCTCAGTCCCCAGCTGGTCCTCTCCACCTTGCTCCCCCCCCACACATGGAGGTCAGCCCCACACATGGAGGTCAGCAGGGAAACATCACGCTGGGTGGCTGAGGAAGGTGACAAGCAAGCTAAGGGAGGCACACAGCCCCTGCCACATCTTGCATGCTCCGTGAGCCCAGCCACTGCCTCGTCCCAATGTTATAAGCCACCAGCAGTTGTATGGGAATCAAACTGGAAGCTCTCTGGGACAGGGACTCTCTCATGCTGTGCCTGTGCAGTGCCCAGCACCCTGGGGCCCTGAGTCATTGAAGACGGATGGTGCCAGGGATTGGTGCTGTATGTACGTGTGCTTACATATGTACACGTAAGGGGCAGGGTCCGAGAGCTGGGCTGGGAGCCAGGAGCTCCTGCCCAACCCATTCCCTCTCTGGCTTCCCACATACTCCTTTGGCCATGGTTTTTCTAAATGACTTGATTTTGGCTGCCTCAGCTGATGTCCCTGGGCAGGCTTCTCCACACGTGTTGAGCACTTGCTAGTGCAACTGAAGGCCATGGAAGCTGCAGGTGCTCGGTGTCTCTGGCACCATGGATCCCGAAGCGCACGTGCAAAGGCCCAAGCCTTCCTGGCTCCATATCCTCAGCAACCCCATCTTGCCAGAGCACAGGGAAGGTCAGTACATGGACAAAGAGCGCAGACGGTCAGTCTGTCCTAGGTCCTTCCCCATGACTGAAATCAAAGGCCTTGGCCCTTCTCTGCAGCTTCCTGCCCTCCTTACCTAGCCCTTCCCTGCAGGGGAGGAGTTACTGGGCTGTTTGCTAGGAAAGAAAGCATTGGGTCCCTTGGGGCCAGCTGCCTAGTGTCCCTCATGCTCCTCCAAGCCATGCGTAGACTGATAACCTCACACTTCAAGGTTCACGTCTCAATGAATCACTGTCATTACTTTTGGCTAGGCTGTGGAAGTGCCCTCAGGCCTTGATATAAGTTAATAGCCTAAGGAGGAAGCAAGGAGGAACTCAGAAGTGAGACCACCTGGCCAGCACTGCTGAAACAGGATGCCTGTGGATGCCATTTAATGGACAGGCATCAAGAGAGGGTGTTCGGGTCTCACCAAATACTGTGTGCAGGGACTGGCATGTCCAGCTGTCCAGGGCAAGTGGAACCTCATCCCATCAAGAGCCATCCACCACAGAAAGGAAGAACCAGCTCCTTCCCAGTCTTTGAGGTTTGAGTATAACCTTGTGAAGCTGAACCAAATGCAGGCAATGCTGAGTGGGTGGGGGGGTCAGAGGCGGGTGGGGGACTAGAGTGAAGACAGCCCCACTGCAACGGCCAGAGGGTGAGATAAAGCAGAGGGGAGGCTGCTCCTCCAGTGCAACAGGCTGCGGGAAGGGAGTCTAGCAGATGGCCCCCCCACCTGCATCTCACTGCAGCCAGGAAACCGAGGAAACCAAGGTGGGTGGATGGGATGAGCAGAAACATTCCCATATTTCACAGCTGGTTTGTGGGCAGGCTCAAGGGGTTTCCCCTTCATCATACCCAGACTGAAGGTTGGCACATAAGTGAGGGCAATGGCCGTCAGCTGTTGGGGCCCCGCCACAATGGTCTCAAGCAGGAACTCACACCTGCAAAGCGCCAGTGCCACGAGCAGATGGACAGCACCATTCCAGCCAGGAAGGGTGTTGGCTGCACTTCTCTATGGCACAAGCTCCAGCAGCCAGATTGCTTGCTTCAGCTCAGCCAGCACTGGATCAAGTCCAGAAGAAGCCGCAGAGCTGGTGCAGGTCCCTCGGTCACTGGAGGGTGGGAGCAGCAGGCAAAGCAGCGCCGTGCAGTGCACAGCAGTGAACCCACATCACCGAGCCAGGAAGCTGCATGGAGCTTCCCTGCAAGCCTTCCCCAGCCAGCCAGAACATTTCCCCGAGGCCCAGGGAGACCGCCTTCCCACCGCTTGGCTTGGTTTTAAATAGAGCATTTTCCCAAGCTCTGCAATTAAGCGGCGATCACTCAGGGAGCTGAGGAGCAGGCTGGTTTGCCTGGCACCAGCGAGTCTGTCACGCCAGGCAGAGCTAGCATTAACTCAGCGCAAACAGGGGCAGGATGCTGGATCCCAGGAGCTGGGGAAACTAGCCCTTCCTCCAACACAGCCCCCAGGACAGCCAGGTCCCTGGAGAGGCTGCTCTAGACATCTCCCACCTGCTGCCTCTTCTCACAACCAGGCAACACAAAGAGCTTCTGATCAGAAGAGACACCACTTAAGATCCAGTGTGGGGTTCCCAAGCCCCACAGCAGCCAGGGAGACGCCCAGCCAGCTCCTGGGAATGAGCCAGCTCTATTCTCCCTGTGGGGCAACACATTTTCCCTGCGATTCTCAGGCGCAATAAATATTCCACATCTCCTCAGGGCCAAACCTCTGCCTGGCAAATAATCAACGCATACAAGGCTCATTCATGTTCCTGTGGCTTTCGACTGTGCTGCCAGCGCCCGACCCCCTGCACTGCACTGTGCTGGCCCAACCATGCCTCACCACCCATCAGTTGAGCTTTGCTGAAAACTTTCTGGGGAACAACAGGGAAAGCTGCAGATACTCTGCATGTTTTTTCCCCTGAGCACCCTCTCTCCGAACTTAGCTCTCCTCGCTCTGGTCTGACTCCTCCACAAAACCACATGGTGGTCAGGAGACTCCGGTCCCAGAGAGGAGGAAGGGTGGACCCAAACACTGCACCACACCCCATGAGTAACAGGCCCTTCACTGTGTTTCAGTGGCACCAGGTGAAACCTCAGCTGGAAATTCTAGTCCAGGCCCCTGGCATGAATCTGCCACTGGGATGAGAGCAGGGAGGGCTGCCCTGCTCTGGGGCTGAAAAGAATCATGCTGATTTTAGTGCTGTGCTAATGCTCTCCAGTGGAGGCAGGGGAACAGGGGGAAACCTTGGGGAAGAAGGGCTTTATCTAAACAAGGCACTGCCTATCTATGACATGCGAATTAGAGGGTTACCTTATTTGTATAAAACTGGGTCTTAGGCCACCTATGGGGATCTCTGGGGCCACTGCCTTCCTGCCAATGGCTGAGGCCCACTAAGGAGTTACTCGGTGGGGCTTTAAAATGGTTCTTCACATTGCCAAGAGAGAAGAACAGAGATACTGATTATTACCCACAGTGGAAAGGGCCTGGAAAAGCTCCTGTAGCAGCCCTGCAGCACAGAGGTGTAGTGAGGATAGAAATAAGCCCCCCTCACCTAGACGGAGCTCCCCAAAATTGCCACATCCGATCTTCTTCCCGACCCGGAAGTTGGGGCCCACCATTAAGACTCCAGAGTTGGTCCCTGTGCTTCGGCTCCCATGGCTGCTCCTTCCTCCGCCTGCCTTGGACATTCTTTTGCCTTCCTCCGTCTCCCCTTTCCCTCCTCTCTTATCAAAATCCATAAGTTTGTGATACCCTGGCCTCTCCACGGTTACGCCACTGCCATACAAATCCCAAAGCCACCGAAAGTCGAGGGGGGAGGAGACAGGTAGCAGCAGGGCTCTTGGTTAATACACCATCACGGTCCAAGGGGCAGGGCAGGGGCTCCGGGGTAAGTGCCACCCGCAGGCGCTGGGCTACTGAAATGTCAGTGCTTTCGAGGGTCCTGCCGGGATTCTCATGGTCGCCTGCTTCGGGCCGTTCTTTGGTGAAGACAACATTCTGCGGGGAGTGTCCTTCCAGCTTAGATCCTTTGGCACCGAGCTGGGAAAGAGAGAAGGGCAAGGATTAGCGTGAAGAACAGGCAGGTGTGATTCTGCAGAGCTTTTAAAGAGGCGTGGGCAAGGGATGGTAGAGGTATGCCAAGAGCAGAGCACTTGGCAACCAGGGCACCTGGGTTCTACGCTGAGCTCTGGGGGGAGCATGATCCATCTAGCAGGTAGAGTGGAGGAGGGGATGGGTACCCAAGAGTCTTGGGCTCTGTTTCCAGTTCAAAGAAACGACCTTCAGCAACTCACTGAACCCAAGGCCTCAGCTTTCCCTCTCCTGTCCAGCGGATGGATACTTACCATGCAGGAGGGGGAGACCTAGCTCAGTATTGCCCCTGGCATATGCTGGGACCCTGGTGCGGAGGAAGCTAATGAAGTGGGATCCTACACAGGAACAGAGGAAACCATCTGAGGCTGCTCATTGCTCCCAGCTACTGTCTCAGCTGGGCTGAGGCAGCAGGCTGGCTTGCTCTTGGTGAGAGCTGGTGGGTGGGGGTTTTGTGCACAGCCCTTTCAGGAAGAGACACTCCTTCTTTTGTCATGGGAAGCCAAGGAGAGTAGAGACACCCAAGGCTGAAACTCCACCAGCCCCAGGAGCATCATGAGCTTCTACCAACACGAGCAGAGGCAGGCCCTGCTTGGGGAAAGCTGCTTCACGCTGCTGAGCCCAGGGGTGTGCAGCAGAGGGCCAAGTGCCCCCTTCCTCCAGATACCTCAGTTAACCCTGGGGAGCACCTGCCAGGTCACTGGAGAAAACAAGGCAGCCTAGAAGGTGACTGAGGCACTGGACTACCTAGGGGGAGTGCAGAGGCATAGGCAGCAGGGACGCTGCTTGCTGGCTGTACCTGACCGCTCTAAACTGGCTGAGGAAGATGAGTCACTGGATTCTCCAGAGCAAGGAAAGCAAAAAGCACCCTGGGGTTTCCTGAGAAGCAGAAAAAGGATATCCCTCCTTGCCCAGCATGGAGACTTTCTGGGTAAAAACCCCTACGTGCGCCAGGAGGTGCAGACCAAAGCCATCCCAGGCCAAGAACATTGTGGCATGCTCAAATTCTGGTCCTGCTGCCGGTTTTGATTAGACCTTGTGTGATCTGTGCAGATGGCCCATGCAATCTACAGCCATGGGGTGTGATGTCTACACCATTTCAGATCAGTCTTTACCTGGCTGCAGCCCACACTCCTGGTACCCCTCCTCTGGGGAGATTTCTTAGCACCCATTTGAAGTAGGTGCGACTCACGCTGAGCAAGCTCCTGCTCCCTGCCGTCAGGCATAGCTGAACTGAAGATCTGCACTGAGAGGCCTGCATGAGTGTGTAAGGAGCCTCATCTGTATAGACACAGCCCAGATTCTGCTTACTGCCCACCTGTCACTAATTTGCTTTTAATGGAGAAACTGGAATACGATGGGGGGGGGGGTAAGGGGGGGTAAGGGGATTGCTGGGACTAGGGGGTCAGTATCCACATCTCCAG